CTGGCGCGCAAGGAGTCGAAGTCGGTCTTCTTGGCCATCGTGCATTCGATGTTGCTTGGGGCGCGCAGCACTTTCAGCATTGGGTCGTCGGTCTCCGTTTTCTGCATCTTCTGTGGTGGTGGCTGCTGGTCCTCCTGCGTCGCCTTGGACTCGTCACCAGCGAGCAGAACCGCAAAGGCATCCATGAGGGTAGACACGGAAAGATGGGAGCGTCGCAAAATGCGCCAAAGAGCACGGGCACTGAAACTCCAGTGCCGCGAGGACTGTCCCCGCAAGACGGCCGGTCTGATCCGTCCCCACGGCAGCGACCAAGCTCGAATCGCCGGGGAAGCGTTTCGGACTTGAGCCAAAATGGCAACGGACGAGGGGGAGGAGGAGGAGGAGCAGGAAGAGGAGGAGCAGGAGGAACAGGAGGAGCAGGAGGAGCAGGAAGAGGAGGAGCAGGAGGAGCAGGAGGAGCAGAAACGAAGAGGAATGCGATGAGAAAATCGAGGATGAGCAGGAGGACTAGGACGAGGAGGAGGAAGACGAGAACGATGATGATGATGCTGATGATGATGATGATGAGGAGGAGGAGGGGGAAAATGTCGAGCAGGAATCTCACCAGCAGGATGCGGAGGATTCGTACGAAGAGGGGGACAAAGGAGGAGTGAGAAGAGGAGGTATGGAGGACAGGACAGGACATCCGCAGCATAAGGGGGTTCAACGTCAAAACACATACGCTGGTGCCTTGCGCGCTTCTGACACAATCCCCTGCGATTGGTTGTGCAACGGCCCTGCCTTCTCCCTAGGGCCGGCAGGGGGCATACCACGTTGCTCAAGGAGTGAGTTCCGAGGTGGCCTCGCAAAAGAGGCTCGCTACCTTACGATTGCGAGTCCCTGCGGGTCCGTGCGGGCGGAGCAGCTGCTGGCCCTTCCGCGTGCCCTAGGGGAGGGGACGCGCGGGCTTAGCAGTGTGCCCAAGCAAGGGGGGAGGAGACGACGACACGACAACTCCAAAAGGAGGAGGGGGGGAGGGACGGGAGGCCCGTGTTCCCAAACTGTTGCTGGGGGGCCTGGTTACCCTACTGGTTTTATTGTTTTCTCTCCTCTCCCGCTCGGTTCGCTTCCCTTTCATCTCGATCTGGCCGACAGTTGTCCCATTGGAGCGGGATGAAGAGGAGGAGGGGGATGATAAGGAGGAGGTGTAGTGGAAGGGGGGAGTGCGAGGGCGACAAGGAGAACGTCGTGGATGCGGAGGAGGAGGAGGAGGAGAGAACGACGTGGATGCGGAGGAAGAGGAGGAGGAGGACGACGACGACGAAAAGCTCGACGACGACGCCGAAGGCGAAGGCGGATCAGGAGCAGGCGAACGCGCGAACACTCTGAGCAGCCTTGGCGGAACAAAAATCATGTTTGGGGACACTGGACTCTGGCTCTATGTTTGTTTTGCTTTCCTGCCGCTCGGACCCTTTGGTCTGTCTCTGCCCACATGGGGCGGCCCGCGGCTCGCTGGTCTCTTATACATGGGAATGGCGGAGCGCGCCGCAGGGGAGGAGGCCTCAAGTGACCTACAGGGCTGCACCAGCGCGACCCCAATGAGCCCCCGCGGGGGCGCTCACGGCATGGAGCAGCTCGGATCCGGCGACGCAACCGCCGCACCGCACGGAAGATCGTAGCACGTCCGAGCGTCCAGGCATCACCTCGCCCATCAGGGCCCCCGAGCAGCGCGGGCCTCGGCCATCAGGTCCCGAAGCTGCGCGGCCGTGGCGCGGGCCTCTTTCAAGGCCAGCGCGCGGTCCGCTCCAGCGCCGTGCCGCTTCACCAGGCGCACCTGCCCCTGGAGTTCGTCGGCCAGGGCGTGCAGGCGGCGGGCCATCTCCACCTCGCTGGGGGTCTCCTGCCCGAGGACGACCTCCTGGCGGCCGCCAGGCGGGCTGCTCAGGCGAGGACCTGCCATGGCCGCGGGGCGCGCAGCCACAGCGCGCAGCCAACTCCTTCGTCGCCTGAGCGGAGAGAGCTACGGATGGGCGGAGGCCCCGTGTCGATGAGCGACGCAGGGGCACCCGTCCCCCCTGGACCCCAGACCTCTGGCGGATTGAGTTGTGCTGTGCAATCCGTGGGCCCCACGGCGCCCCCGACCCCTTCCACAAGGCCGTGCTCTCGCCCAGGATCGCTTTCCCGGGGCCCGCAGATTGCCGAAACGGGGAGGCACAAGCACACAAGACAACAGCAACGGTCCTTCCAAGCCAAGAAAAGAAACGCCAGGAGGCGCAGACCCCGGGCTCCACAAGCCGAGCCACCCCCTTCAGGCCCCGCTGAAGGGCTGGCCAAGAGGAGCGGGGGGGGGGAATCGGTGTGGGTAGCGAACCGGCTGCATACGCAGTTGGTCTTCCCAGCGCCTCCCGGCGCCGGAAGCGCCCAGTCGAGGAAGGCGCCTGGCAGCGAGGCCGAAGTCAGCTGCACGCAGCAGATGTCGCACCCCCCGTGTGTCCCAACCCCCACGATGCCGTCCGTCCCGAATGATCCTCGTCCTCTGGCTTTCGGGCCATGGCTCCAGTTTCCGGCGGCGGTCCCGTACGATTCGGGCACCCCTGGAACGCTCCTGGCGAGGCGCAGCTGGTGGGAGGCATTCCGAGGCTGGAGGAACCGCCGAGATCCGAGCCCAATCGGCCGCGGCCTCTGTTCGTTGCGGTCGGATGACGGGAAGCGCGCGTAGACTCAAAGAGTCGAGCGATGGACGTCGTCTCCGCGCCCGGGGGGGGAATACTCGTATCAACTGGGGAGGCCCAGGAGGGGAACGGCTCGGGATCGATCCCCGGTCCGTTGCGGTCGGATGACGGGAAGCGCACTCAGACTCGAAGGGCCGCGCGATGGCCACCCAAAAAGCCGCCCTCCATCCTCCTGGTCCTCACCCCTTTGGCGCGCCACCGATGTCCTCCCCCATCCTCGCAACTCTGGGTTCCCAGAGATGTGGCGCGCGAAGTGGTGCCGCGCGAGAAATGGTCCGGCAGTTTCGCGTGAGACATCATCGCATCTCTGGGCACCGAGAAAATGTACGCGAGGTGGTCTGGCCCAAATCGCTTGAAACGTTCTCGCAAGTCCGACTTCCGAGATGCTGCGCGCGAGGTTGTCTGGCCAGTTTCTCTTGACACATCCTCATAAGTCTGGCCTCCTAGAGGGAGGAAGGAGGAGGAAGGAGGGATGAGGGGTCTGACACAAACGAACCGTTCTGATGTCGAACTGTTCTGATGTCGAACTGTTATTGTGGAGGGGGCTGGGCGCCCCTGGCCCGACGGAGGACGCAGTTAGCGCTGGCGCACGAGGGCGATTCCTTGGTAAATGCTAAGAAGGCGTCTCAGGGGGAGAGCCATGCTTGCGCAAATCGTGGAGATGCCTCGGGCTAGAGCGCGGTGGGCAGGGAGGAGGCAGGATGGGGCAGGAAAAAAGGGGGAGGAAACAGGATTCATGGAAGATAGTGACGGGGCCAGGCCCAAACTAGCTGTTTGAAGGCATCCATGGCGAGGCTGCCTCCTGGAATCGGCATCGAGAGTGCGAATGCATCCCTGGCGTGGCGGAAGAAACGGATAGGAGGAGGGGCGAGGAGGAGGAGGAGGAGGAGGAGGAGGAGGAGGAGGAGGAGGCACAGGAGGAAAATGACGAGAAGGACGCCGAGGAAGGGAAGGACAAAGGAATGCGAGGAGGAGGAGGAGGAGGAGGAGGAGGAGGAGGAGGAGGAGGAGGAGGAAACGGAGGACGAGTAGGAGGATTGCAAGGAGGAGGGGGGCATGCGAGGAGGAGGAGGAGCAGGAAGAGGAGCAGGAGGAGAAAGAGGAGCAGGAGGATTGCATGGAGGAAGGGGACGAGGAGGAACACGAGCAGGAGGGGGAAAAGGAGCACTGCGAAGAGGAGGAGGGGAGCGCAGAACACGAGGCGGAGCACGAGGATTACACGGAGGAGTATGGCGAGCAGGAGAGGGGGAGGAGGAGGAGGAGCAGGAGGAGAGGATGAGGAGGAGGAGGAGGAGGAGCAGGAAGAGGATGAGCAGGAGGAGCAGGAGGAGCAGGAAGAGGAGGAGGAGCAGGAGGAGCAGGAGGAGCAGAAACGAAGAGGAGTGCGATGAGAAAGTCGAGGATGAGTAGGAGGACTAGGACGAGGAGGAGGACGAGGACGAGGACGAGGACGAGGACGAGGACGGTGATGATGATGATGATGATGATGATGATGAGGAGGAGGAGGAGGAGGAGGAGGAGGAGGAAGAGGGGGAAAAGGTCGAGGAGGAACATCACCAGCAGCATGCGGAGGATTCGTACGAAGAGGGGAACGAAGGAGGAGTGAGAAGAGGAGGTATGGAGGACAGGACAGGACAGGACATCCGCAGCATAAGGGGGTTCAACGTCAAAACACCTACGCTGGTGCCTTGCGCGCTTCTGACACAATCCCCTGTGATTGGTTGTGCAACGGCCCTGTCTTCTCCCTAGGGCCGGCAAGGGGCATACCACGTTGCTCAAGGAGTAAGCTCCGAGGTGGCCTCGTAAGAGAGGCTCGCTACCTTACGATTACGAGTCCCTGCGGGTCCGTGCGGGCGGAGCAGCTGCTGGCCCTTCCTCGTGCCCTAGGGGAGGGGACGCGCGGGCTTAGCAGTGTGCCCAAGCAAGGGGGGAGGAAACGACGACACGACAACTCCAAAAAGAGGAGGGGGGGAGAGACGGGAGGCCCGTGTTCCCAAACTGGTGTTGGGGGGCCTGGTTACCCTACTGGTTTTATTGCTTTCTCTCCTCTCCCGCTCGGCTCGCTTCTCTTTCATCTCGATCTGGCCGACAGTTGTCCCATTGGAGCGGGATGAAGAGGAGGAGGGGGATGATAAGGAGGAGGTGTAGTGGAAGGGGGGAGTGCGAGGGCGACAAGGAGAACGTCGTGGATGCGGAGGAGGAGGAGAGAACGACGTGGATGCGGAGGAAGAGGAGGAGGAGGACGACGACGACGACGACGAAAAGCTCGACGACGACGCCGAAGGCGAAGGCGGATCAGGAGCAGGCGAACGCGCGAACACTCTGAGCAGCCTTGGCGGAAAAAAACATGTTTGGGAACACTGGACTCTGGCTCTATGTTTGTTTTGCTTTCCTGCCGCTCGGACCCTCTGGTCTGTCTCTGCCCACATGGGGCGGCCCGCGGCTCGCTGGTCTCTTATACGTGGGAATGGCGGAGCGCGCCGCAGGGGAGGAGGCCTCAAGTGACCTACAGGGCTGCAACCAGCGCGACCCCAATGAGCCCCCGCGGGGGCGCTCACGGCATGGAGCAGCTCGGATCCGGCGACGCAACCGCCGCACCGCACGGAAGATCGTAGCACGTCCGAGCGTCCAGGCATCACCTCGCCCATCAGGGCCCCCGAGCAGCGCGGGCCTCGGCCATCAGGTCCCGAAGCTGCGCGGCCGTGGCGCGGGCCTCTTTCAAGGCCAGCGCGCGGTCCGCTCCAGCGCCGTGCCGCTTCACCAGGCGCACCTGCCCCTGGAGTTCGTCGGCCAGGGCGTGCAGGCGGCGGGCCATCTCCACCTCGCCGGGGGTCTCCTGCCCGAGGACGTCCTCCTGGCGGCCGCCAGGCGGGCTGCTCAGGCGAGGACTTGCCATGGCCGCGCGGCGCGCAGCCACAGCGCGCAGCCAACTCCTTCGTCGCCTGAGCGGAGAGAGCTACGGATGGGCGGAGGCCCCGTGTCGATGAGCGACGCAGGGGCACCCGTCCCCCCTGGACCCCAAACCTCTGGCGGATTGAGCTGTGCTGTGCAATCCGTGGGCCCCACGGCGCCCCCGACCCCTTCCACAAGGCCGTGCTCTCGCCCAGGATCGCTTTCCCAGGACCCGCAGATTGCCGAAACGGGGAGGCACAAACACACAAGACAACAGCAACGGTCCTTCCAAACCAAAAAAAAAAACGCCAGGAGGCGCAGACCCCGGGCTCCACAAGCCGAGCCGCCCCCTTCCGGCCCCGCTGAAGGGCTGGCCAAGAGGAGCGGGGGGGGGAATCGGTGTGGGTAGCGAATCGGCTGCATACGCAGTTGGTCTTCCCAGCGCCTCCCGGCGCCGGAGGCGCCCAGTCGAGGAAGGCGCCTGGCAGCGAGGCCGAAGTCAGCTGCACGCAGCAGATGTCGCACCCCCGTGTGTCCCAACCCCCACGATGCCGTCCGTCCCGAATGATCCTCGTCCTCTGGCTTTCGGGCCATGGCTCCAGTTTCCGGCGGCGGTCCCGTACGATTCGGGCACCCCCGGAACGCTCCTGGCGAGGCGCAGCTGGTGGGAGGCATTCCGAGGCTGGAGGAACCGCCGAGATCCGAGCCCAATCGGCCGCGGCCTCTGTTCGTTGCGGTCGGATGACGGGAAGCGCGCGTAGACTCAAAGAGTCGAGCGATGGACGTCGTCTCCGCGCCCGGGGGGGGGAATACTTGTATCAACTGGGGAGGCCCAGGAAGGGAACGGTTCGGGATCGATCCCCGGTCCGTTGCGGTCGGATGACGGGAGGCGCGCTCAGACTCGAAGGGCCGCGCGATGGCCACCCAAAAGCCGCCCTCCATCCTCCTGGTCCTCACCCCTTTGGCGCGCCACCGATGTCCTCCCCCATCCTCGCAACTCTGGGTTTTGGCTATGCCATACTTCCCGCCCGAGGTGTGTTCCCTTGCTGCTGTCGTCGAATCGGCCGGAGAATCTCCTTCTGTAAAATCGAACACAGCTTTCGACGCTTGCATGTCTGGGAGGCGGAGAGAACTAGGTCGCCCCGTAGAAGCGCCTGCGTCATGAATGCGCTCGGACCAATAATGGTCTTCTTCTTTTCCGAGCGATCCTTCCTGTGGCCCCATTCTCTGCGAAGCTAACGGCTGTGCCGCCGTCTCGGCTGATAACCAATCTTTTGCCTGGATATTCATAATCCCTACAAGGTGCTCCGTTGATGTCTCATGGTCAGTGGGCTTCGCCGAAGGCATGGGGGAGAAAAGGATAATCCTGCAAGCATGCAGTAGGGTAACACTGAAGGGAGGAGGCCTGCCCGCCGGCCGACGCACGCGCGCGCGCCGCATGCACGCTCCTTTTCCGTTTCCCTGGAGCCAAAGTGTACCTGCAGGTAAAACATTCAAGTCAACAAGAGAAGCAGACAGTGCAGCAGACAGTGCAGGCAAGGCTAGAGAGCAGGACGGGCAGCAGGATGGTGGTGCGGAAGGAGTGCATTGAATTAACTAGCCCGCGGACGATCGCTCGGCAAAAACTACGGGAATGTACAATGGCCTCCTGCAGGGAGCGATGATGATAATTATAATGATGATGGTGACGATGGTGATGATAATAAGGATGAGGGTGATGATGATGATGATGATGATGATGATGATGATGATGATGATGATGATGCTGATGCTGATGCTGACGACGATGGGGATGATGGGGATGATGCTGATGGTACTGATGAGGATGAGGAGGATGACGACGATGATGATGCTGATGCCGATGCTGATAATGCTGATACTGATGCTGATGATGATGCTGATAGTGATGCTGAGGATGAGGATGATGGTGATGATGATGCTGCTGCTGATGATGATGATGATGACGACAAGAACTGCAGAATCCGCTCCCACTGCTACCATCTAGTCACAACTACCCCCCACTAAAACCTGCACATGAACCGTGCGCGTTGGACTCTCTCTCTCTCTCTTGCCAGGGGGAGGCGGTGGTCACCGCTCCGTCTCCGCCTCGTCTTGGCTCAGCCTCTGCTCTGCCGTCTGCCGCAGGGAAACTCCACCGAGCTGCCCCCGCCCCCCAAGAGACCGAAGAGCCTCGAAGGTGATTCGTTCGCGGATGACCGCTCCGCCAAAACCCTGGGACGCACAACGTTAACGACCTCGTCGCACCTCCCCCCGCAGAGGAGGACGAATGCTTCGTACAGGGTACGACGAGTGGCCCACGCCGACTAGTTGACCGAGGCCGAGGTGGCCCAGAACACCCGATCGAAGTAGCTGGCAACTTGGAGCGAGTCCGGAACCACACCTCCGACGTCCTGTGTTTTCCTGGGCCCCGAATATTGGGCCCTGGATGCCGTAACTTAGGGGAAACGATTGGGGGGGAACAAACAGACACAACAACAGCAACGGTTCCCAGGTTAGGCAAACGTCAGAGGTTGGGCCACGCCACCTCCTCCACGAGGCGCAGACCCCGGGCCCCAAAAGACGAGCCGCCCCTTCTGGCCCCGCTGAAGGGCTGGCCAAGTGGAGGGGTGGGGGGGGATCGGGTCGAACGAAGAGGGGAGGGGGGAACAGCACGTGGGTAGCGAACCAGCTGCACGTGCAGCTGGTTTTCCCAGCGCCTCCCAGCGCTGGAGGCGCCCAGTCGAGGAATGCGCCCAATGGCGGATTTCCCAAACCCCTCCGCAATCCCTCTGATGTCGTCCGTCCCGAATGATCCTCGTCGTCTGGCTTCCGGGCCAAAACTCAAATCTCTGGCGGCCAATCTGGACGGTTCTTGTACCCCTGGGAAGCTCTCGGCGAAGCGCAGCTACTGCAGAGCATCCCGAGGCTGGAACACCGCCGAGAGCGCACGAAAACGTTTGAAAATCTAGAACTCCTCCCTCGAGGCGGGTATCTGGCCCAGGCCCACCAACTTCTGGAGGGCCTCGTCGTCCAGCGACCACGCGCACGCCGGCCCCCGCCTCACTGGCGAGCTCGGCCAAGTTGAGGGGAGCCAAGTCGGGCGTGCGGTCCCAGAGGCGTCTCGAAGTGAACCAGAGGCCTCCAAGTGGGGCTAGAGCGGATGAGGTCGGAGGATCGCGCCGCATCGCCGATGCACTGGCGAGCAAAAACGTAGCAGCGTCGATATCGGACGCTGGATCGCGCCGCATGGCCGATGCAGCGGCATTAGGGCGCGACTCTCCGACTCCATCCACTCTGGCCCTATTTCTGGAGAGCCACGCCTCCAATGAGAACCCACACCTCCAGTGGACCCAGCGTGTATCTGTTTCGACCTCTCGGGCCGGTTATGGTTGTTTGCGGCCCCAGAACCACTACGAACGATCCAGCGTGAAAGCCGACCCAGGGGAAGGAGTCGACAGCTCCGGCCGTACAACGGACCGTAGAAACAAGCTCGCAAAGATATTGGAGTGGAGCGAGGGCTTGTCGATTGGAAAGGGTTCGGAGCGGCACAGGGGGAGGAATGGACGAATAGGTTCGCGGAGGCAAAGTAAGCGGGACGATTCACCAAGAATGCACACATGCCCTTCCTCCTTCCTCCTTCTCCTCCTCCTCCTCATCATCATCATCACCGTCATCATCATCATCATCATCATCATCATCATCATCATCATCATCATCACCGTCATCCTCATCATCAACATCATCATTATCATGATCACCGACACCGTCCTCATCCTCTCATCATTGTCATCATCATCGTCCTCATCAACAGCATCAGCATCATCATCGTCCTCATCAACAGCATCAGCATCAGCATCAGCATCAGCATCAGCATCAGCATCAGCATCATCATCATCATCATCATCATCATCATCATCATCGTCACCATCATCATCGTCTTCATCATAATAATCATCATCATCGTCGTCGTTATCATCATCAGCATCAGCCTCATCATCCTCATCATCATCGTCACCATCAACATCATCATCAGCATCATCATCATCAGCATCAGCTTCTGCATCATCATTAACATCAGCAATACAATGAACCCTCTCGTCGTGCATCAGCAACCATCGACTGGCATAACTGTCCGGAGGTCGCTGGGCGCCACTTTCCGAGCTTCTCGGCAGGCCCGAAGAAGACACCTGACATATCCTGAAGACTACGTGTCGTATCTTATCGCAAAGCGGTTCAAAAATCATCAGCGTCACCGATCGCAACCTATCGCAAAATGAGGTCATATTTCAGCGGCCCCTGATCCGGAGGTACGCCACCTGTCCCGAAGAAGCCTGTTCAACGGTCAGCTAGACCGAGTCCGAAAAATTGTATCCGAAGGAAGCTCTGGAAGCAACTGCTACAAAAGAGCGTCACGGCTGTGCAGCTTCTCCGTTTGTTTTCGAGAGGGGGGGTATCCAGCCATTGTGCCCCAGCGCAGAGGGAGGGGGGAGAAAGAGGGCAACGATCAGGAGGGGATAATGCTGAGGGGAGGTCTTCCCAGGACCCCCAATCCACAGACACATAACCAATCCAAAGCTAACAAAAACAGCCCAAGCAGTCTCTTCGATTCTCGATCCTCCCTGCTCGATCCTCAGGAGTAAACGAAAAACTAGCATTCGGAGGTCCGCGCGGATTCCTTGGATCGGCGCTGGACCCCATGCGTAGCGCGCGGGGCGCCGGAGGCGCCGCCAGGGGGGTTCCAGCACCGACTCAAGAAATCCACACGGACCTCCGAAAGTTTATGTCTGTGCAGTTTTTGTTCCTTGGGGGAGGAAGTGGCGACCCCACCTCCGAGAGGAGACGTCAAGGGAGGGGGCAGCTCAGGAGGGGCAACGTCGAGCTTGGATCGGCGATACTTCACCGATTGGTCGGCGATAGGCTCCGGATAGCGAGCCCGCACGTTCCTGGGAGGGGGGGGGAGCTATCGGGCCCCCGTCAGCGAGGAGTGGCCGGCTGGAAGTCGATGCGTCCCTCCCTGAGCCCATCCCCACCCGTGCCGTTGCCCCCGGCCCTCGGTGGTGACTTCC